ATAACCTAATATGATGTAGAGATGGTTGACCGTGTTATAATATGAGAAGGAGTTGATCGGGGAGTGCGGTCAAATAAATACTAAATTATAGAAATAGTATTATTTAATTATTATGCCAACGTTTCGACCCACCTTGCAGGTCTTCATCAGGGCGTGGCACTGTGGGAGGCAGTTGAAACACTGACAGTGTCACACTATCACTCCATGCCAAAAGACACTGTCAGTGATTCAATTGCCTCCTGCAGTGCCACATCCCACGCCCTGATGAAGACCTGCAGCAAGGTGGGTCGAAAAGTCGGCATAATAATTAAATAATATTTCTATAATTCAGTATTTATTTGACCGCACCCCCCCCCCCATCAACTCCTCATATAACCTAATATAATAATAATGATAATTAAATGTAGTATCAATATACGTGTTTTAAAGTATAAGTGTAATATCAATTTTATGTTAATTACACTTCTTAATAAACAAACAAACTATGCTTATTATCAATAATATCATAACATATAGCTTACAAATAATAATCATTGCTTCAGTTCTGTTGCTTTTAATATCTATTAACTTTTAAATTATTAGTTAATTAATTAATTATAAAGTAGTAATCATAAAATCCATATGCTCTCAATAAATTAATCATAGGGCACAGCCCCCATTTTGGCTACATATATATATTTTTTTTTGGATAACTCTCAACCTTGCCATTTCTGGCATATGGGGGAGGAGGGAGAGTTGTTATAGATTTATAACCAAACCTATTCCAACTAGAGAAGAAAGGTTGAGATTCATTCTGTGGATCCACTATGGAATAAATTTTAACCTTTCCAGGCCAAATTCGAACTGACATCACTAGCCTCAAGAATGTTAAAACAGCCAATGTTCTAACAGCTAACACAATCTCTAATTTTTGCTACATCCATCTCCGTCTGCCTTTATCAGGTTGTTTACTAATTAAAAATTAGTTTGTTCGGGAAATTGTTAACCATAAACATTTGATTTTTTTATGTTTGAATACAATGTGAAATGTATTATTTTATAATTGCAGGCAAAACAGCTTTTCTAGAAGGTTGTTTAAAAAACAGATGTTAATTATTATTAGTTAGAAAAGATTGTGTGTTCTTATAAAACTCTGCTTTGTAAAATTTGATAAAATACAGTTGCTTTTTTTTTTTTTTTTTAAAGTGCATTCAATCACTACTTTATTTACAAGTTCCCATTGTTATTCATCTTTTGTATTATGAAAAATAGTGGCATCCCTTGTGGGGAACAGGTAAGTAGTAAATTTATTCATTGAATATAAGATGAGTGCCTTCGAAAATTTAAAAAGAGAAAGGACAAACGTATGGAAAAGATTCACCTTGAGCTACAATGATTTTATCCGATTGTCCGCAGAAGAGGATTGCGACTTATATGGCATTTCTGCATAATTATTTTAATTGAATGACAAAGCGGAGAGACTCTTTGGTTTAGACACCCAGATAAAAGAACTTTTGTTTACTCATGTTGAGGATGATAGTTTAATAGAAAAAGAATTTGACGAGGTAGACAATTATAAAGAAAAATGGCTTTTGGCTGTCTCTATGAAAGATAAAATAACTATTAAAAGAACACAGGTCTCAAGCAATGTATCAGAATCGAGATTAACCAATACAAAAAGTTATAGGTTACCAAAACTTGAGCTGAAAAAATATGATGGCAGTCTACGTGATTGGATAAGTTTTTGGGCCAGTTTTAAAAAGGTATATGAAAGTGAGGAACTGGACAATGAGGAGAAGTTTCAGTATTTGTTTCAGGCTACTGTAGAAAAATCTCCTGCTCGAGAATTTGTTGAAAGTTTCCCTCCATCATCAAAGAATTACCCTAAGGTAATTGAAAAATTAAAAATAGATTAGGAAGGGAAGGTTTATTGATACAACTTTACGTCAGGGATTTGCTGGGTTTGGACTTGAATCAGGCTACAAATAAAGGTAATACGACTCTCACTTCTTTATACAACAAACTAGAATGTCAGTTAAGGTCTTTAGCCACTTTAGGCGTAACCACTGATAAATGTTCATGTATGCTTATACCTATTGGTTGAATCAGAGCTACCAGAATCAACTCTTAGACTTTGGGAAAGGTATAGGGTAATGAACAAAATTGACATAGAGAAGGGTTTGGATGATCTGTTACAATTTTTACGTGGTGAAGTGGAAAGTGAGGAGAGGATCTTGTTAGCGAAATCTGTTTTTCCAGATTCCGAGTGTAAGAAAATCTTTACAAGAGACATAAAGAAACATGACACCAAGGTAAATTACATCCCAACCTCTTCAGACCTTGTAAACGTCACTAGATCTAAAGAAACTAGCTTTTTTTGTGATAAAGGGCATGATTCTCTTAATGGTTTTAACGCACAAGACCTCGATATTGATTCTATTAGAAATATTTTGAAAAAGAAAAGTTATTGTTTTTCCGGTTTAAGAAGAGGACACATGAAGAAGCAGTGTAAGGCTGCGATTAGAAGTCTGCTATGCCAAGGTAAGCATGTTACATTATTATGTGAAAAGCGAAATGGACAAAATGCAGAGAATAGCTCAATTAGCTCTGGTTCAAAAGTAGAACAATGTTTGACGAACATACTTAGTAGTGAGATATATTTAAAAACCTTGAAAGTAAAGTTAAAAAATGATAAAAAGGAATATCCTTGTGTTTATTTTTTGATGATGGTTCGCAAAGTCATATATCAGTAAACAAATGGTCTCTCTTTTAGGTTATGAACCTGTTGGTACACAAACTATTGTTCATGGATTGTTTGGAGGCAGCAGATCAAAGCCTGAAGACCACAATATTTACAAGGTAAGAATGGCAAGTGCAATTACAGATTATGCTTGTAATTTTGAGACTCTGGATAAAGAAACAATTTGCCAAGAGTTACCTGTTATCGATCGATCTGGACCCTGGATCAAAGAACTGGAAACGTTAAATATTTCTCTTACAGACACAGAGTATGGTAACATTGATATCCTGGTGGGTGCAGATATCTCTGGAAAGTTGACAGGAAATCGAAAAATTCTGAAATACGGCCTTGTTGCAGTTGAAACATATCTTGGTTGGACACTGATAGGGAAGACCAACGAAGAAAACTACTGTGCAACTGACAAGATCAGTGTAACCTCCATAGATGTGTCTGCTTCAGATCTTTGGCGTTTAGACTTGATTAGAGTTGATGACTAGAAACTGACTAAATCATCCATAGTGATGAAGAGATAGAAGATGGGAATTTTGGAAACTATCGCTCATCATATGCTCCTTTTGAAAAGGACAAGAAGATTTCGGATAAGTCGGGAATGTTCTACAAGGATTCATCAGATGAATCTGAATCTGAAAAATCTGAAGATGGTAGTGATAAAGAAAATCTTGATTTTTCTTCATCAGAAGACGAGGCAAGACCAATTAAGAAAATAAAAACTGAAAAGAAAAAAGTTAGATTTTCATCTGATATAAAATCATCCGTTTCTAACTGATTTGGATCCCAGGGATAAGGAGACTAAGCGTGTTCACAAGGCACGGTTGTGGGTTGAGAAGGATGTTTTTAAAGATCTTGAGAAGGACAAAGATGATAAATTTGAGTTGGAAGAAATGGCAAAGACTGTTGTAAAGAAAGAGGTGAGTTTGAACAGTAAAACAACGATAGAACAAGCTATTGCCAAGATCAAACCTGACAAATCTCAGACGAAAGTGAAGGCTGAAACTGATAGTGATGTAGTGTTGAGTGACGGTTCTGATGACAATTTTTCAGATTCTGGTTCTGATTTCGAAATTGAGCAACCACCCCCAAAAATGAAGAAAGTTCCTGGGAAGGATGGAGGCCATGAAATTGTACCTAAAGATAGTAAGCTGAAGAAAATAAAACTTAGCAAACAATAGTTAGCATTGAGTGTCATGATGGTTTCATTGCAGGTCACCAAGCGAGACCTAATTGATAGTGCTTGGAACAGATACACATTCAGTTATGAGAACTTGCCTGATTGGTTTGTGGAAGATGAGAAGAAGCAGATGATGAAGGAAGCACCTGTTCCCAAGGAGCTTGTTGATAAATACAAAAAGAAATTTGAGGAATTTAATTCAAGATATATAAAGAAAGTAATTGAAGCACGTGCAAGAAAGAAGAAAAAGGATGATCGCTTATTACAAAATCGATGTTGCAGAAATGTGCGAATGCCTATACAGTTTCTTTGAATCATTTTGTAGTCAACATCAGTTAGAGAGAATTTGAGTTTTATGTGCTGGTTATTTTGTTTGCAATCATTTCTAGAAATGTTTGTTGAGTAGTTATAAACTACTCAAGGTGGGAGGATGTTCGGGAATTTGTTAACCATGAACATTTGATTTTTTTATGTTTGAATACAATGTGAAATGTATTATTTTATAATTGCAGGCAAAACACCTGTTCTAAAAGATTGTTTAAAAACCAGATGTTAATTATTATTAGTTAGAAAAGATTGTGTGTTCTTATAAAATTCTACTTTGTAAAATTTGATAAAATACAGTTTTGTGTTTTTTTTTTTTTAAAGTGCACTCAATCAGTACTTTATTTACAAGTTCCCATTGTTATTCATCTTTTGTATTACGATAAATAGTTACTAATTATTCATTACTGTGTCTAGGAATATGCAATTCCCTCGAGGTGAGAGCTAGTAATCATAATTGAATTTATCTCATCAGGCAAGATAAATATTGTTTGTATATTTAAAAATTTTGTTGAAGAAGCTGCAAGAAAATATGTATATAAAATAATTTTAACTGTACCTAGCATTCAAACATGTATTAATTACTCAAAGTTAAGTGATGGCAGTTAAAGAAAATACTTCAAACTAAGACAAAGAGTAAACAACAACCTAATATGAATTCAACAGAAGTAGAAAGAAAATAAAACATAGAAAAAAAAAACAATTATTAAAGTACATTATAAATCAAAAACATTAAATCAGTCCATTTAATATTAGTATAGAACTAACCTGTAGAGCTGTTTGCCTTTCAAAAATAAATTTTTGATTCAAGTTCCCAATATATTTCTTAGGAGGAAAGTCAAGAGGTAAGCCTGAGGCTTGTATTGCCTGGTGCAGAGCCAAAAAATCATTATACCTCCTTTTAACATACCACTTACCCTCTGGACAATGTTCTTTTTGAACTCTTATTATATACTCCTGCAATCAAATATACTTTTTATGAACAATATCAAACAATATATCTTAACAAAATACATAAACAACCAACATGTATATACATTGAAGTTTGATAAGCAATACTTTTCTTCATGAAGGTTATATAAACTTTAAGAAATTAGTAAACTTAAAGAAGAAATGGTTATAGGTTCATAGTGTAAATAAAAAATCAGATTAAACAAGGGACCAAAGGCTTACATAAAATATACTGAACAGTCTGACTGACGGAGAAGGCTTGTGTTCCTAAAGGGAGTTGTGTAAGAACTACTCTAACTCTGAATATGCTACTTGACTCTGCTGTAGTAAACCCTTGATGATATAAAGGCTAGTAAGAGTCGTATTAGTTACCATTGTTAGTTTTAAGCTTGGATCAGTATATCTTATTACCATAACTTTGTATTATTAAAAATTATTCATATATATATATATATATATATATATATATATATATATATATATATATATATAACTTGTTAATATATATATATATATATATATATATATATTAACAAGTTTTTACTGCAGATGTTTCTCAACAGATGTTTTTTACAAATTAAAAAAAAATTAATGAAATTATATAGAATTATTATCGAATTGCTATTGTTTACAGAAAAAATTGAACAACTAAGGTGATAGTGGGAAATTTTACCTACAAAATAGTAATCACAAGTCTTCGAACCCTGGCCATAGCATATACTTAGTCTGATGACAAGTGTCATGTTGTCAGCTTTAAAAGTTTAAACACTATTTATGTTATGGTACCTACTGCGTTCAAGTAGAACCAAGTTTCAGTACATATTTTACTTCTAGATCCAATAACATGTACAATGAACATTTAATAGATCAAATAATGAAGATAAGCTGTATTTATAAATAAATTATGTTTAAAAAGTACAATGGTAAAGCATGCATGAAATGTATACGTTCAGGTGTAAATGAATTTTAGTTCACTATGATATATATTAAAATAACTATGAATATCAGAACTAAAAATTCCTAATATAAACATAATAACTTTGGATAAAAAAAGTCTACATTTGAGGATTGTAAATTAAGAAAAAAAACTAACTAATAAATAGAAATTAAGATAATTTACTTACGGTATGGCCATCAATGTATTCAGAATTTATGACATTTGCTATCAAAACATCAGTGTCATCAAGATATACTTTTGTCATGATATTTTGTTCAAACACAGACATTCTACATTTATCCGTATAAATACTTAAATGAATTCTTATATATTCCTACAACATACGCCTATATAATCTCTATCGAATTATTGGATGATTTCATGATACAAAAGGGATTAGAAGAGGTATTATTCAATACATTTACAAATATACACATATTTACAAGTATCAAAGGCTCCGATCAGATTTTAATATCGTTACTTAACGAGAGATCATCTTAACATTATTCGTTTCCAGGGAAGTTAAACTTGTATAATTCACACCTCTCTAGTCATTTCTTAAGTGTTTCTTGGGTATAAAACAAAGAATGGAGTAAAACGGAGATACGGGCTTAATAAGAGAGTTTAATGTGGCACCGCCCAGCTCGTTAGCAATCTTTTCATTTTGACCTCTGAACCCGCTATGCCACCTGAGGATTTGTGATGACCAGTAGTCAGGCTGGAGCCATTTAGCCTCCAGACTTGAATAGAAGGTATGAAATAATTTCCTGAGAGCCGAGCCCCTTTTGGTTGTCCACTCCTCGCATGAGTTCTCCGTTAACAGCGTTCTCCATTTCCGTGGGTTCTCTTCTGTCCTCTACCAAATTCATGCTGGGAGTTGTTCTAACCCCGTACCTCTTGACACCGAATTTGATAGCGATTTCCCTCAGAATTTAGTCGAGAGGCATATACCAAGCCAGTAACTGGGACCGCTTCATGCGAAACCGTTCTATACGCTTTTGTGGCCATAATCAATGCCAGTCTCTAGATGGTTGCCATTTTTAAACTTTGTGCTTGTGTGAGGCGACGGCTCCCACCCAGAAGATGCGTACCTCAGTATTCCCAGCACCAAACCGTTGTAAATGAATGAAAATATATTTTATTATTCTAGAATTGTTGTCCCTTTAGAACAAATCTTATAGTACAGATTGCATGTCTGTGTGGTCATAAATAAATTATATATTTACAATAAGGGTTAATTAAAAATAAAAATACAGAAGAAGAGAGAGAAAAAGACAAGAAAATTGTAAATATGTATAAGACAGACATAGGAAACTAAAATAACCTAAATAAGTTGAGGAGGTATCTGGGGCTACTTAGATAGTTCTCTTAGGCATATTTCATAATCAGTCGGATTGAGAAAGGAGTATGTGTTTAAAGAGAAGAGGTTTGAAACTGATTGTGCGTGTCAAATATCAGCAGGGAGGTGGCTTGAATTGCAAAGGATTTGTCAAAGGCAGCAGTTCGGTGGGGAGGAGTATAGGTCGGAAGTACGAGATCTAGTGGGACGGGATTGGATGGAGTATTTAAATTGTAAGCTGTGAAAAATATAGGGGGTCAATGAGTTCTAATGATCTGGTACAAAAAGATGGCTAGGAAGTACTGACGGCGATAGGATAGATAGAGCCACTTCAACTCGGTGTAATACTGAGTAATATGCGTATCTCTCGAGATTCCGAAAACAAATCGTAATGCACAATTCATTAGGCGTTTGGCCTCGAAATCTCCCGAGACTCCACCGTACACCATACAACCATAGTTAAAGTGGGGGAAAACAAGAGAGGAAACTAGAAGTTGACGGGACTTATATGGAAGGAGATAACGTAGACGATTGAACTGTTTTAGGGTGGAGATAATGCGACGGGAAATTTGGGAGATGTGTGGTTTCTAGGAGAGGGTTTAATCAAAAGTAACTCCCAGGTTTTTAACGGTAATATGGAATAAGAAATGTGAGTTGTTCAGGAGAAGATTGGGAGATACCGGGAAGGATTTGAGGAGTGAGGGAGATCCGATCAAGATGGCTTTCGTCTTCTCGGCATTCAGAGTGAGCCTGTAGGGGTTTGCTCACGCCCTTATTCTATTAATATCTTCTTGGAGTTTAAGAATGGAATATGAGAAATCGGTCGGATTAATGGAGAAGTAAATTTTAATGTCGTCGGCATACGGGTGGTATTGACAGTGCAGGATAGAGGATGGGAGGTCATTTATATAGATGGAGAAAAGGGTGGAGGATAAGGAAGAGACTTTTGGGACGCCTTTGGACAGAAGTAGAGAATCTGATGGGGATTTATTAGGAATAACAACATAATAGGGGCGACCAGTAAGGAAGGATTGGAACCAATTCAGAGAACTAGAAGAATAGGAGATATTTTTAAGTTTGGTTAGGAGGATGTTGTGGTCAACTGAATCAAAAGCTTTGGAGAAGTCAAGGGGAATGAGGATGGTTAATTTATGCTGCTCTATGGCTTTGTGAAATTATGATTAGGGTCACTAGCGGATCCAGGATTTAATTTTGGGGGGGGGGGCTTCAGCCCGAAACCTTTTTTTTTCATAACAATAACGATAATTACTTTGGAAAAAAAGAAAGAAACTAACTACCTATATAAAATGGTGTTTAAGTTATTCCTTAAGTACTTTTAAATGTAATTACACGAACAATAATACTTTAAGAGGTATTTTTTTCCCATAAAACATGGTTATATTTTTCGATTTTGGGGGGGGCTTCAGCCCGAAAGCCCCCCCCCCCCGTAGATCCGCCCGTGATTAGGGTAGACTGAGTGGAAAAACCAGGCTTGAAACCGTACTTATTCTGGTTATTTCCGGTAAATGCTCCTGATCACCGAGTACTTGATTCCCAAAATAGCACCTCTTATCCTCTACAGTCTGTTTAAGGAGTACGTCACTTTATCTTTAAGCACAGGCGGATCTGGGGGCTTTCAATCTGAAGCCCCCCCCCAAATGGTAAAAGTCATTATCCTAATATATTTATAAAAAAAAAAAAAATATTTCGGGCTGAAGCCATTTTGGTCCACCTGACACGATTAAATAGTTTTTTTTGGCATATTAGCGATGTTTTGCCGTACATAAATGAGGAAAATTGTCTGGTAGGTTATAAGAGGTTATATAAAGATCGCATATTTCCGGAATGATATTCGTATTTCGCCTATCAATTAGTTTTTTTTTAAATATAACTTATATCGTTTATTGCTTTGTTGCATATTTGGGTGCGCCAGAGTAATACAAATTAATTTTTTTTTTGTAAAAATTATATATTTCCGGGCTAATATTCGTATTTCGCCTATTAATTAGTTTTTTAAAAATAAATCTTATCTAATAGATCTAATGCTTTCGTTACGTATTAGGATAAGTCAAGCAGTTTCCAGATAAGTTTTCAGGAATTTTCACGAACGAACCAATAGAGACTTGCTAGAATTAGGTGACTTCGTTAATACTTATGTTAATCCTTGCTTGTTTCCTGCTGAAATTTGAATAAAATACCTGCTTTGCAGAACTTTGAATTTATTTTGAATTACGCAATTACGCATCACGTTTTTGTAACATTTAGTATTTTATCGATATTCGAGTCCAATACTATGTTGTCAGGAGTTCTTTTTATGAACATACTGTCGGATTTAAGAATCACGCAACGAAGAGGTGATGGGTAACTGTTCTACAATTTTTGCATTTCTACAGCATTAGCCTCAGTGAGAACAGTTGGTCCAATGTGAACATCCCTCGCCTAAATCCCGCTTGATACTTGTCTATCTCCCTCTCGGCATGAGGAACTAGTCTCTCAAATTGGATGTTAGAGAGAACTTTATAAGCACATGAGAGAAGCACAATGTCTCGATAATTGTAGCAATCCGATTGGTACCTTTTCTTCTGAAGAATTATGGTAATCGTCAATAAATTACGTAGTTTTTTCGTTCGTCCGCTCCATGTTGCCCACAACAAGCCGCACCGATCCGAAGGCTGTTGGATAGACGATGACACTGTTCGACACGTTGAATCATGTGGAGAGATGACGCATTCGACAGGCAACAACGGTCAACTTGTAGCATGTGGCACAAGGAGACATATTTGTTGTAGCTTTGTGTTTCTTCTATGGAAAGACCGTGTGTTGCATGCGTCATTGCCGCATGCTATATGTTGCCTAAAAATTGCCTCAGTGGAACTCCGCCTTTATACGCTTCATTTTTCTTATTTGGTTCTCGAAGCATTAATCATCAAACCAAGGTGACTTCCTACTTCTTGTCTATAATCCAAGGTTTTACTCTGCAGTAGTTTTCAGCGCTCTTGAAATTCCCGACCACTGGTCACCCACTGTGGCATTCCTATCCCTTAGTCCCTCCTCCAGCTTAGTTTCAAGGTGTTGCTGATAAGTTTCACACACTTGAGGATCCTTCAGTTTATGAACATTGAACTTTTTCACAGCTTCTCCAATACCCGAGTTCCGTTTCGTGGTAATGCGGAAATTTATACGGGCAATACTGAAGTAGTGATCCGAATCTACTTTTGCTCCTCTACATTTTCTTACTCCAATTAAATTGGACCTGTGACGAGAGATGATTAAGATGTGGTCAATCTGGCTGGTAAACGCTCTTTTAGGTGATCTCCAGGTAGCTTTGTGTATATTTTTGCCTGGGAACATGGTACTTCTGACCAAGAGGCTGTGAGTGTTCGCAAAGTCAATCACTCTTTGCCCGTTGGAATTTGTGTTCTGATGAAGACCGAAGGCTCCAATTGTTGGTAGGTGTATTCTTTCCGTGCCTATCTGGGCGTTCAAGTCTCCTAGAACTATTTAAGCATCATATGCTGGACAAATCTTGAGGGCTTTAGAGAGGTCTTCGTATGAAGACAAAAATTCGAAAAATTGAAAAACAACTGTACAATTACTCCCAACAACTATCAATAACCCCCAACTGTGGCTAATCGGGCTAACGCGAGTGCGCAACACCTCAGTGTTCCCCGTATAACCACGAAACATAACTCGGGTATTGGAGAAGCTGTGAACAAATTCAATGTTCATAAACTGAAGGATCCGCAAGTGTGTAAAACCTATCAGCAACACCTTGAAACTAAGCTGGAGTAGGAACTAAGGGATAGGAATCACACAGTGGATGACCAGTGGTCGGGAATTTCAAGAGCGCTGAAAACTAGTGCATTTTTCAATCACTAACGAATAATGAATATATTTTCATTCATTATTATTTATTCGCTATTCGAATAAATTCTGTCCAACTGTGCGCTTGGCCACCAGTAATTCATCAAACGTTTGAATTTTATCTCGAAATCTCAAGAATCGTCTCCATATAATGTACAACAGTAGTCAAATGGAGAGAAATATTAAAGAAGTACAGTGGTCTACAGGTTTCTAATGAAAATAGGCGATGGAGGTAATTTAGACGTTCTAAGGAGAAAAGGAACGGCGTGTTATATTGGATACATGGTATACAACTGGTATCAATTCCGGCCTTAGGGAGGGACAACCGGGGCAATTGCTACAGGGCGCCGATCATCAAGGGAGCTCGCCACTTCTCAGAAATTAAAAAAAATACAAAACTTATTTAAATAATTAATTTTAGAATATTAATAAATCAACTGTATTAAAGAAACATCGAATGAACTAAAATTCAAATACTGTATAATATAAAACAGCTTGTGGAATAAATTGAATTTTTTTAGGGGGACGGGAATATGACGTCATTGCCCGGCGTCTAGAAAATCTAGAAGAGGGTTACGTATTGCAAATTAGGCCATATAAAAGGACCCTTACACGACCAATATTATTGAGTCAATATCGAATATATTGACCGCCTGAGGGATATATTGTAACAATTATATTGACATTTGTAATATTTATTCAGGTTCAGTGATATGGATTCAATAATATTGACCGTGTAAGGTAGACTAAGAGCACTGTATGGTATATATTATCTATTATTTGTATTGGTTTGTATTTCTGCTATTATTGTTATTTTATCACATTTAGAATCTGCCCTTAGGGCGAAAAGTTGTTAACATATTTCTTTATTTGATACTTCTCATCCTCTATACATATCTCTTTGGTTAACTCACACTTCTATCAAAAGCATAGTCATTCTACAGGTTGAGAGAACCTGTCAAGTTTGAAAACTGTCAGGTTCTGTTGTGTAGTCACTGTTTGAATTTTATCCCAGTTCCTTAACATGGAGTTTCCGGATTTAGGAAAACATTGTGCTATGTCACTTTGTAATAAGTTAGGTAAGTGGTAAACCTTTTATATATTTTAAAGTTAAAGAATTATAATTTTATTATTGATATTTAATTATTTAATGGGCATTTCATTTTAGTTATAAACGTCAATGCAATATATTAATTTTTTAATTATTTAAACGAATGGGTATATTTCTTTATCATCTGGCAGAAGTATTTCTGGCAAGATGGATTTCATAGTTTGGGATATAATATGGTTGAGTTTAACTTAGTAGTTTGTTTATATCTTTTAACATTAATTTCAAGTTTAAAGGAATTATTGGTTTGCTGTAACTGTGAATTAACTTCTGTTCAAAAACTATACATTTTAAGCTGAAATACAATATGGTGGTTCTTGATGCAGTTTATTGTAATATTACCATAGATAGTTTCATAATATTGAGAATTTTGTTTTTTGTGCACTTTTTGTTGCATTTTCTTAAATTGCTATTTACGAATCAACATTTAAAATTAATCAGTGGTTTATTTATTGTTTTAGATTTTCTTCCAGTCAAATGTGATTGTTGTCACCAAATTTTTTGGTAAGTAAAGTTTGAAGTTTCTTTTCTTTTCAATTGTTGAAATTTTATTATACAATTTGTTCAAGTTTTGCTCATTAAAAAATTAAATAATTATTTTTTTGACGTAAACATTTAGTTGTAGCTAGGAACGAAATGTTTCACCAGATTTTAATAATTTTTTTTTATTTATGATATTTACAACTGTATTAGTATAAATACATCAAGTAAATGTGTACAGAGGAATATAATCTCATGAAAACGCTTGTTGAGAAACTACCCGTTGGAAGCACTCTTTTTAAAAATTAAATATTAAAAGTTCAAATGTTTGTCGAGATTAAATTTGATATTTATAATTAATTATTTTATTCCAATATCTACTTTCAAAGAGCTATTGATCACATATGTTATGGTAGGATTTAGATAGTACATAATTAAATTTTTTTTTTATCAGAATAAATTGGGTTAGGTCAAATGTTTAAAAAAATGTTTTTCTTGTTATACTCATGATAACAAGTAATCGTAGAGATGCATTACTTTATATTTTTATAGAGGGTCCTCCTAAATATATTTCCTCATTTATTTTTCTTATTTTATAGATAGAAATGGTTCTAATGAACTAACCCTAATTTTTCATGTGAAATTTAAATTTAAAAACTTTGCGCAATCGTCATCAACTTTATTTTCCCCTAATTAAGATCCTTATATTTTTGTCATATTTGGAGTCCAAATCAAATTTCATGAACAATAAACACCTCACTTGAGTTATAATGTTGAACCTAATGCATCCAAGAAATGTGCAATTTGCGTAAAAAGCAATATTTTCCATATTCTGAAATACAACATGTGACATATGATATCTCAGTAGTTTTTGAGCTGAATCGTGCTGTGATATTAGTTTTTTCAAGAAAGCGTATCCGTTTAAATAATCAATATCAAAATAAGAAAAAATAGGTTAAAATACAAAAAAAAAAGTATACATTTTTATCTTTTAAATATAATTTTAATTTTGCCATAAATTTTCTTAATAACTAGAATTCTAATTGAAAATACAAATTCATTTAAATAAAAAATAAACATTACTATATATAATCTTTCGGGATTGCTTTTATCATTTGTTTTCACATATTAGTTCTCAACACTTGCAAAATGGTATCATGATAATTTTTTTTTTTTGCAATCACACTTCGTCTTTCAGCACTTAGATTTATATTTACATGGCTCAAACCATGTGTGGGCTAGGTTTCCTTTTGTTTTAATTTTTGGATAAATGTAGTTATCTTTTATTTCCTCTTGCCCATGAGTCCTACTTATTGGTCAACATCCCTCAAAAAATGTCCCGATATCCTAGATATATTTATCACCTCCCAAATTTTCTCTACCCAAATCATAATCAAATCCCTGGATGACCTTTCTTCAGACCATTGTCCAGTTCTACTTTCACTATATTCTAACTTTGCTCCTAAACCATCACCTCAAAACAAACAAACTTGACCTCAAAATTCCACTAAAGACAAAAGACGACATTAATGGTGCCATAGAAAAACTACTGCATCAATAACAGACATTATAAATAATAACACCTTTATCAATAAGATTAACAATTCACAAAAGACTAACTTGCCACAGCATATTCGCATCTTATTAAAAGAAAAACGCAGAGCAAGATCGAAATGGCATCAAACAAGGTACCCAACAGATAAAGCGCATTATACCCAACTGACTAACAAACTAAAATCAGAAATTAGAAAATACAAAATACTAAGTTTTACTGAAAACTTATACCTACCGACAAATCACTATGGACGACCACTTAAAGGCTCCTGAAATTTAAAGACTGTAACCCTCCACTACTCACCGAAGCCCAAACCTGGTCCAAATATGAATAAGAAAAATCCCGAATGCTCACCACCTCTTCAAAACCTTAAATCCACATTCCGATATTCTTAACCCAAATCACCTTGAATGCATTGAAGCAGAACTGGATATACCACTCCAAATGTCTTTTCAACTTGATGCCTTTCATCCTTCAGAAATATCCAACATCATTCACAGGTTACCTTCCCTCAAAGCTCCTGAATACGACCTAATTACATCCCAGATCCTAAAACTACTTCCTCGAAAAGCCATTATATTTCTTACTCATATATATAATGCTGTACTTGGATCCACATATTTTCCTGACCCTTTGAAACTATCCATTATCAAAATGATACATAAACCCAAAATGCCATCAGAATACCCATCCTCTACCGCCTTATCTCTCTTTTTCTTATCATGGGCAAAATCCTGGAAAATCTCATCCTAAAATGCCTGTAAAACCCAATCCTAGATTCTAACCACATAATCCCAGATCACCAGTTTGGATTCCGCAGATCACATTCCACTATCCAGCAATGCCATCGTGTGGTGGATGTTGTTTCCTTTGCATTGGAGTGCGGAACATACTGTACGGGAGTCTTTCTCGACGTAGAACAGGCTTCTGATCGAGTCTGGCATCCGAGACTGCTTTACAAACTATGTAAATTCCTACACCTTACATACTTCCCCATTATCCGTTCCTATCTAACTGATAGATCCTTCAAAGTAAATCATAATAATGTTTATTCATCTCTTTTTTCCCAGTCTGCTGTTGTTTCTCAAGGTAGTATCCTAGGTCCTATCCTTTACACAATTTATACAGCTGATATCTCAACACATCCTAACACTATCATTACCACTTATGCCGATGATACACGTGTCCTATCAGTTAATAATGACCCAACAATTGCATCCCAAACAAACTCTTCAATCAAACATCACAAACCTTGAAGAATGGTGTCAAAACTGGAGGATTAAAATAAATTCCAATAAATCCCATCAAATCACCTTTACCCTTTGCTGTAAACCTATATCCGTCCTTCTGTCCTACAGTATCCTTTAATAAAACCCCACTTATCCCTGTTGAACAAATCCAATACCTTGGGCTACACTGGGACAAACGTCTAACTTGGAATCCTCATACCATACTGAAACGACAAGAAACTGCTCGACATTTGTGACTACTCCAACACTTACTAGACAAACACTCTAAGCTTTCAGTTAATTACAAAAGACTCATATACTTGACTACAATAAGACTTATTTGGACTTAACATAACATATTGTGAAAGGAAGTATATAATACTATATATAAAAATAAAATTATATATACAGTAAACATGTAAATATATTTAGGAGAATTCTTTATAAAACTTTGTGCTCAAAAAATATGAAATAACAAAAATTTCTCAGCATTAACACATCATCAATTTCAGGCTAAATTCGAGTCTCTTCGATGATTGGTTTTCGAGTTATAGGGATTTATGAGCTTCACTTCGGGGCTTCCACCCTCCCCCCCCCCCCTCTAGCCTAAACCTACCACATTCAGAGGTGGCAACATCCAGTTTTCTAGTCAGTAGGACATCCCGGACAAGAATTTGAAGAGAAACCGCAGTGCGGATTTTTGCATACTCAATCACAGTCACCGCCTAGACCAGTGTCGCCAAACCTATTAGCCAAAGAGCCAAATATGAATATTACAACAATTTAAAAAAAAATTGGGAGCCAAATCTGTTTGTTTAGTAAACTTTTATTACACTCAATAAAACTAAATATCATACTTAATAAATATTTATTAATGCGAATAATGTGCTTGCATCTCCTTGTAAAGTTTGAGTAAGTCAGGTTTGTATGTTGTTGTTTTTAATTTTAGGTATGATTCCCATTTCTCATCAATAAGAAGACTTCTCAGTTTACTTTTGATAACGTTCATGCTTGAAAAAGATTGTTCGCATATATATGTAGAACCGAAAAAGGATAGAACAGCAAACGCGAGCTTTTTCAGCTGATAGTAAGAGTCAGGAATACTATTCCAAGCATTGAAAATGATCATGTCTTCCTTCTCCAGGTCATTCAAAGCAGACCAATTGTGTTGTGAACTAAGATCACATTTTTTCTTCTCCAATATTTCCAATTCAACACAAAGACGTTCGAATTTAGAGCACCGTATCTCCTTGTTTTTTAAATCCAGCATTGTATTTCAAAGCTACCAATGTCAATTTCAAAAGGAGAAAATTTCAACTCGGTTATCATAGCATTAAGAGGATTTTTGATAAATGCTAAAGTTGCTCTACTGTTTTTGAATTCCTGAAACCTGATAAATGCTTTGATAATAATAATTAATTATTAAGACATGACAACTGCAGACACAGTAGATAAGACAAAACTGTTCACACTGCAACTGCTGCTCTGTGATGCCAATTTGTACCCCACTACTTTGGAAAAAGTATGCCTGTGCATGCTCGTGGTACCTGTGTATCACACCAGAGTACACCAAAAACATACAAACAATTTCAGCTGGTAGCTTGTTACATGGTTTGTGTTTACGTTTACGAAAACTAATAAAATTAAACTCGATGTTCGTTACTTATTTTTACAACAATATAAAATTTTAATTACATCTATCTTTTAACTTAAACAAAAAATTATGTATGTTCTCGATTTATAGAAGAATTTTAATTTATCAAAATAAGATGTAATTATTTTCTTACCAAGTTTTTTTTAAATGAAAATATTATTGAGCCTTCCGTGGATATTTGTGCCAGAGCCGCACTTAAGGAGCCAAAGAGCCACATGCGACTCTGGAGCCGCACTTTGCCAACCACTGGCCTAGACTAATAGTTACACAATGCTGAATTTTATGAACTGTACTGTGAATTTAACTGAGAAGATTGCTTTGCGGTGAATGAAATTGGTGTGTAATGGTTGGGTTTAGTAGTGAAGGAATCCTTAAAAGATCTATATGTTCTGTTCTGACTTGTAAGCTCCTGAGGGGTAGACTGCAGGAAGCCTGAAGGATTTCGTTGAGACAGATCTTGTAGGGTTGGGTTTGGACAGCAAGTAGGTAGTCATGGGTAGTATCGTTATCAAACCTTCAGGTTTGCTAAACCTTTAATCACTACTGCTTTGGTCTTCTTGTCTTTTTTTTTTGTATCTCTCCACCTCCACTATGGTCATTTTAATAAAATATAAGAACTTATATTAGATTTATTATCAGTATAAAGTGTTGTTTTCTTATGATGGTATTACTAAAGTTTATTTATTAATTTTTACATTTTCAGCCTTATTATGTCAATTATTTATGAATTAGATATTTGTGTTTGATTGTTTCAGCTGTGAGCATATGAAATATGATGATCATATGTGCCCAAATGCAGGGGCAAAAGATATTCAAGTTCCCATCTGTCCCCTTTGTAACAATCCTGTCCCATCTAAGAGACATGAGCCTCCTGACATAGCTGTCAGCGCTCATATTGATAGGGATTGTGAGTCAGATCCAGCAGTTGGAAGAAGAAAGGTAGATTGTTTCTCATTTATTACTGATAAATTATTTATTACTCATTGCAATGAACCAAATAATAGAGTCAGAACACATAATAGTTTAAAAAATTAAAATTAATAACAGATTTTTTATGTTTTGGAGTTACACACCACTTGTTGGCTAAAGATAAAGACCATTGCTATCAGAAAACAGGTTAAAGCCATTTTAACTTGCCATACCAACTGGTGAAGGGAGTGGGGTAGCTAAGTGGTATGGCACCGATCTTCCAATGCTCATGGTCACAGATTCGAATTCTGGCTCATGGCAAAGTACTGTCCATAAATAGTACTGAACCCAAGACCCTTCATGGTTATAGTGGTACAGGTTTTTTTTTTACACCAACTGTTGACGGAATACTCTGAGTACTCCGAAGATGAATCTAATAAAACAATTCCTTAATCTCTTCAATCTGTCTTGTACCTACTATACAGTCCACAATATACTAGGCAGCCATAATTAATTTGGAAAATAAGAGAGGTGGCAAGAAACTGGCAGGTTATAAGGGGCATAGTCTACCTTTATCCCTTTACTGACCAATGCCAGTGAGTCCTGGGCTAGTATCTCAAGACACTGTTGTCGAATCCAAACAATGGAAATAAAATACCTGAGGAGGATAGAAGAGAAAAACAAGAAGGAATTAGGTTAGAAAAATTACAATAAAAAGTAACCTAGGAGTAAAACCGCCCTAATGTATAGAGTGTATGAATAAGTTTATCCATTTGTTATCTAGAGAATTTTGTTTACCTATGTGCATCTGGCAGCACTGAAACCAACTTCATTCAAGAGCTAATCATCTATACTCGGGTTGTCAGTCTATTTAAAATCCTCAAAGTTTATACAATGTTTTTTATATCTCTTGGCGAATATTGTACCCTCAAAACCGTTTTTGAAGAGAATTTCATTACACTATTTTTCCAAAAGAAAACTCCAGCTGAAGGGGATAGAATTCTTGTGGAAACATATGGCAATCTTGCTTTATCAAAAAGAACATGCAGAGAATGGTTTCAACACTTTAAAAACAATGATTTTTATCTTGGATATGACAACCCTCCAGGCGCCCCAACAAGAAAAAAAACAACGAGCTGCTTCAGCCCAATGAAACCATCACAGGAGATTGCTACAGATTACAAATGATGCGTTTGAGCTAAGCTCTGAAGCAGAAGTGACCGTGGTATGAGCAGGGACACGATAAGGTAATTTTGCTGCATGATAAGGCTCGACCTCATATTGCAAACCCAGTTAAAACGTATTTGGAAACCCTAAAATGGGAAGTTCTACCTTACCGGCAGTATTCACTAGACATTGCTCCTTCCGACTACCACTTGTTCTGATTGCAAACTCACGGCCTGGCTGAGCAGCACTTCCATTCTTATGGGAAAACTAAAAAATGGGTCAATAACTGAATTGTTTCAAAAGACATTTCTTTTTTTCAACATGGAACCCATATGCTACCTGAAAGATGGGAGTGATGCTAATGATGGTCAATACTTTAAATGTCCTGTGTCTGACCATTTTTTATAAATAAAGTTTTTATTTTTATCAAAACTCAAAAGTTGGGAACTTCACACACCCTATATAATGGAGAAAATAGGCTACTGTGGATTAATAGGCTAATGTGGAAAAATAGTTTATTTATAAAATTGGCCAAAATCACATTTGAAACGAGAGCTTAGAGAAGAAGTTCCAGGGCAGAGGAAGGACCGAGGAACACTTAAAAAGGTGCAGTGTCAAGAAGGCATTCAACAAGAGAGGTAAGGAACAGAATAGGCACAGCCAGCAGTGGCCATAAGTGGAAATAAGTCAACACTTATGGATCAGATTCAATATACAGGCCCCTCACACTGATCATTGGTGCAAGAGGGTACAATCAAGAAGAAGAATTTTCCTATAATTAATATTTAATTTTCATTGCTTGAAGATCAAAACATTATAATTTTTAACTAGCAAAGTTTCTTATTGGAAATTAGATATGTCTTTTATATTTGTATTATAATATTTTAAAATCATCTTTTACTCACAAGGTTTAATGTCATTTTATAGAGTTTGAAGTTACCATCCTTTTTTAAATAATATTGCGGAAAGATTAACTGTCCATGTCTTTAATTCATTAATTTATTGTAATGAACTTAAGTAACCTTATTTGTCACTGATTCATCTTTCTCTGGAGCTAAAGCTGCTTTGAAATTAAAGTTTTCCATTTTTACCATTCTAATTTTTGTTTATTTTATATAGGTCTATATCAATAAATGTTCGATGAATGCTTGTCGGAAAAAAGAAATTGTGCCATTTGTGTGTCCTAACTGCTCACAAAATTTTTGTGTCACACACCGACATCCAAGTGACCATGAATGCAGTCGTCTTAGTAACCGCTCAGACAAATCTACAAGGTAAATTAAATGAGAATAGAGAAATTAAGTTTTATAAATGTAATTAAATTTGTTTCATATTGATTGAATCATAGATTATCTATTTGATTACTCTGATGGTAGAAAAATGTAGAATGAAACTATTGTTAATTTTTGGCCCCAACATTTAATTATGAAAGAGATACTTTTACATTAAAATAAGTTATATTGAATACTTAATGGTTGACTGTTATATATTTTAGAGGAAGGAGATGGTCCGGGGTGGCGGTCATAAAGATACTAAAATAGTGTAAAAATTATTTTATTTCAAGTCAACGTTTTGACTCGACTTTGCAGGTCATCTTAAGGGCTAGAACGGACAAGATACAAACGGATATAGAAAACAGTGGAAGTTACATAATATTTAGATAAAAATTATAAAAAAGGTGAATAAACTTATTGAAATTATAAACAGTAAGTATTAAGAACACTAAACTATATAAACAGAGTAAACTAAGTAACAAGATCCTAAACTGAAGTAAATAAATGGTAACAATTGTTGTAGTATAATATATAATATAATATATGCAATTATGAATGTACTTCTACAGATCTCAAAGAGAGATTGGAAGAAAAGGAAAAATAATATGAAATAATGGACATAAAGGGAGGCAACTCACACCGACCTGGCGACTCTACCTCGCTTACTTAAATTAGTAGACCCCTGAGGTTTGGTCCATAGACAGTATGTTTCGGGGAAAGAAGTATAGGTAGTCGTGCGTCTGATGACCATTGATCTAGACCGATTTGTCACTTTCCTTGCATCCGAGTAAGTCTGCAGGAAGGATACTACCACATTGGCCCCAAAGGGGTCAACGGATGGCCTGCCGCTGCAATGTGGAGACAATGAATCCTAGCAACATGAGGTTGGGTAGGTTGGGAGCCCTTCAGGCTATCTGTGCTCCCACAAGCACAAGCAATATACTTCTGTAGGGAAACCACATCTCGCGGCCAAATATCATCATGGTCTGTAGAGCCAACCGAAAAAAAAAATATATATATATAATATTTTTATTTTTAAGACTATTGTTGTTTTTTGATATTTTTGAACTGTTTGAGAATAGCAACAGTTACAATAATGAAATAAAGATTATGGGATTAATCAGTTATTTTTTAAAATAACATTAATTATATATCAAGGATGTGAAGAAAAATAAATAAAAATAGAGACTTACAAGTGTGTTCCGAAAGAAGTTTCAGTTGAAACTGGGGAAACTTGGGTAGGGCATCCTTGGGGAAATTTGCTGATCTGGTTGAGGAGTCGTGAGGGGGTAAGTAGTAACAACAAAACAAAACCTGGAATATTACAGTATTTAAAATTTGAAGATATTGATGCATACAAGAAAAATAATATATCTATGAACTAATAAATTATAAATATATACGTATACATACCAAATAGAATTAAGAAATTATAGATAGAAGCACAATGTGAATAAAAACAAAAATGAAAGACCGTACATAGAAGTAAAATGTAAATATAAAAATAAGAGACCAAACATTGAAAAACTAATTTAGAAGTATAGAGAAGAAACAAATATGAATAATTAATTTTATAATTAGTTGTATATATTTTAAGAAAATTACATTTAAATATTAGATACTTCCTCAATTCCTGATAATTCCCCTAGGCCTCGGAAAAGAAGATGGCCTCGTGATCTTCTTACCTAGAATTAAATAGGGAGTGCTACCATAGGGTAGTATCTCTTCAAGTCTGCTCATGTCATTATTTCTAATGTGTGCGTATTTACAGGTTGTATTTTTATAGAGTTGTAAATTTCATTAATTAAAAAATAAAAAAAATAGATAAAATTGAGACATAATGGTTACAATGAATACAAAATAAAAATGAATGATTGTACATTGATGTAGAATATAAATATAAAATTAAAAATTAAAGAGAGATCATAGAAAACGGAAATACTTATAAATAATGAACGATTAAATTAAATTAATGAAAAACATTAAAAATAGATAAAAAATAAATAAACAAGAATAATATAAGATATAATAGAGAAGTTATTTTTAACTTATACAATTAAAAATGTGCTTATATATTAAAGAAATGCAGTTTTTTATCTACTTTATGATTAAAAGGATTCTGTTCCATGTGGATGTCGATGTATTCGGAAATGACCCTTTTTTCGTGGTAAGGGACCGTGGCAAGAATAGTTTTTTTTCAAAATCAAATGAATGGTTGAGGGTTAAGGCATGTTCGGATAGTTTGGAGGCGGAAGGGTTCCGAGAAGTTATGGATGTTTTATGTTGGGAAATACTGGTTTTGAGATAGTTTTTGGTTTTGCCGATATACCTAGTCCTGTCATAAATATTGTTACAAGTAAATATATACAGATTTCAACAGAAAAATTACTTTTTCCAAAAACTTTATTAGAAAATAAAATGTATATCCATAGAGAGTAAAACAAAAAGAAATTACTAAATGTCCCTCTTTTGCCTTGACACAGACATTTAATCTCCATGGCCAGTCATCAATAGCTGCACGCAGCACATCTTGAGGAAAGCGCTCAACTGCTTGGACCAGAGATTGTTTGAGGCTTTTCAAGTTAGGGTGTGCTCTAGTTTGGGCATGCTATCTGCTCTAGTTCGGACCAAAGCCGATAATATAGTGAGCTTCCTGAGGGCCAATCTGGGGAGGGGAATCCAACTGGAAAACCCAATGACTTCCACCAAACAGAGCATCATTTAGATGCTTGGCAACAGGTTCCAAAATATCGTCCACTAGTTTTTAGTGGCTGTTTTTACTCATTTTTCACAAAAACGGAGCTTTGTGGTGCCATCAAAGCTAACTCCCCACCAAACCATCACTGAGGAAGGATGATGACCTCTTTCCACTCTTCCAATGACTTCCTGGGCTTCTTTAGAGCTGTGTGCGTACAAGCGATCATTTTGGCGATTAAATTTTTCTTCAATAGTAAAAATCTTCTAACCTCTTAACAAATTCTTTTGATGAAGACCATTAGTGTAACAGCCAAGGAGCACTTTGCATCTATACACTCTAATTTTTTTAGGGAAGTGGTTAGCCTGTTATTTTTTGAAATGCACTCATCCTATGTTCACTTTTTATTATGCGAGGAATTGATCTGACAGAGATTACCTAACAGAGACATGATTTGTTGTTTTTGAATGGGACTTCTTCTGATTCGAACATCCACTGCTCTCACTGCATTTGCCTCACAGTGCGGAGACCCGATTGAGGTCTGTCACATACATATAAGGTCTCATTATATATATTTGTAGTTCAGTACATGAATATATGGCTGATACCCAAAGGTTTCATAGTGTTGAAAATCTCTGACCTACATTTTCCAACTTTGTGTAAGGCGATCACAGCTATTCGGTTTTCTTTATCACCCTACTCCATGTTAACTGAGCGAAATAAAAATAAAAACTAATTGGGATTATTATCCTGGCATGTAAAGAAAATAACCTGATAGAGGAAAGGATTATCTAAATTATACCCAAGGATGTAAACAAAGTTCAGCTTTTGTAGTAGTATTTATGGCAGAATCAGGTAGAAACTATTACAATTAGGAGTAAAGCAAGGCATCCGGTAAACTACATTAGATCGGTGTTGTAAAAGTATGGGATCCTTCAAGTTGGTGAAAAGGAAAGACAGTTTGTTATGGTACTTAAGACCAAGACGTAAGTTGGTAATAGTTGATTTTAGGAATTTTTGTATATTATCTGAAAGAATAGGAATATAGGAGATTTGCATATGAAAGGAGTGGTAGGTGATCGTGGGGAGTTGAGAGAAGGGGAGGTTGTACTGTTTTTGGTTATATAGCTGTTTAAAAGTTTAAGTATACTGTTGAGAGGGTAATTATTGGAAAGGGGTATATTTTTGACAACTATTCAACTAATTCTAATTATTCATATTTGTTTCTTCTCTATACTTCTAAATTAGTTTTTCAATTTATGGTCTCTTATTTTTATATTTACATTTTACTTCTATGTACGGTCTTTCATTTTTGTTTTTATTCACATTGTGCTTCTATCTATAATTTCTTAATTCTATTTGGTATGTATATGTATATATTTATAATTTATTAGTTCATAGATATATTATTTTTCTTGTATCCGTCAATATCTTCAAATTTTAAATACTGTAATATTCCAGGTTTTGTTTTGTTGTTACTACTTACCCCCTCACGACTCCTCAACCAGATCAGCAAATTTCCCCAAGGATGCTCTACCCAAGTTTCTCCAGTTTTAACTGAAACTTCTTTCGGAACGCACTTGTAAGTCTCTATTTTTATTTATTTTCCTTCACATCCCTTTATATCCATTATTTCATATTTTTTTTTTTTCTTCCAATCTCTCCTTGAGATCTGTAGAAGTACATTCATAATTGCATATTTTATATTATATATTATACTACAACAATTGTTACCATTTATTTACTTTAGTTTAGGATCTTTTTAATTAGTTTACTATGTTAATATAGTTTAGTGTTCTTAATATTTCAATGTACTTACTGTTTATAATTTCAATAAGTTTATTCTGTTTATTGATTTTTATCTAAATATTATGTAACTTCCACTATTTTCTATATCCGTCTGTATCTTGTCCATTCTAGCCCTGAAGAAGGCCTGCAAAGTCGGGTTGAAACGTTGGCTTGAAATAAAATAGTTTTTCCACTATTTTAGTCTCTTTATGACCGCCACCTCGGACCATCTCCTTCCTCTAAATAAGTTATGGTTGTCATGATGTAATTGGAAGTGTAATAGGATATGATTGAATTGAACCCAAAACACAGGCTTGTTGAACTGTAGAATTGAATTATTAAATTATAGAAGCATTAGCATTTAAAAACATATCACATGATATTACGAATCGTCAATGATTCATATATCTCTATTCACCTCTGCTTAAATATGAAATCTCTAATTTTACTGGCAGGTTACCTAACACCGGTTAATTTTCTTGTGGAAGCCAGACGCTCCTCTGCCTGGTTCATTTGA